GTGTTATTCACTGGCGATCTAGTTTTAAACCACAGTGTCGGCAACGACATTTACTCTTATACAACAGACACAAATGTAGTTTTAATTTTCGTTGGTAGCCACGTTCAAGGCGTACGGGAGGAAATTTTATAGCGAGGGCAGTAGAAATATTTTTGATTTTTTCCCTGGTGTCCGGACCACGTGAGTTTAAGTGTGCTACTAGATTGGCATTTAGGTCCCATTCTTTTACTGTTGAATTAGTTAAATGTAACCGTCATTACTACTCCAACAGTTTCTTTTCTCGCACTTACCGCCTGTAGAACTCTATTCTGTTTCCTTGATTTCCTGATAACTACGCCCTTGTGCAAATTGAAACAACAGCTTTAATTTCCTTTCTTTCACCATACGGTCAGTTTTAGACCCACTGGAGTGACAGGGTATAATCGATTCCTATTTTTTCTCAGGTTATTTGCAGTGGTGTGCAGTAATATTAATCTATTTTCGGGGTATAAAAATATTGCGTCATCCGTGATTGCATCAGATTTTCATCACACTATTGTCTCGACTATCTATTAGTTATCCTACGGCCATTGTCTGCGATGGACGTTACTCCAAGGAAGCGTACAAAAACTAACGCTGCACGAATACAATGGTAAGCCTTACCAGTGAGCAAATCAAAGTACGGTAGACTGACCCGGAAACTCTCTTGATTTAAATCCAATCGAGAATCTGTGGTCAATCTACAAGGAACGACTTCGTGGAATGGACATACGAACACACAGTCAAGCCTTACCAGTGAGCAAATCAAAGTACTATAGACTGGCCCGGAAACTCTCTTGATTTAAATCCAATCGAGAATCTGTGGTCAATCTGCAAGGAACGACTTCGTGGAATGGACATACGAACACACAGTCAAGCCTTACCAGTGAGCAAATCAAAGTACTATAGACTGGCCCGGAAACTCTCTTGATTTAAATCCAATCGAGAATCTATGGTCAGTCTGCAAGGAACAACTTCGTGGAACGGACATACGAAAAAAAGTAAATAATGACGGAGTTATTTGTTTTGTTTCAATTAATTTGCAAAGGTGTACAACGTTCAAGAATTTCAATGCAACGTTAATCGCCATCTTCTATCTTCTAGATCCCGTTCAGCTTTTATCCGCTCCTCGGCCATACCCACTATACCCGGTCTTTTCTCTCACCGTCATTCTCTGTAACCTTCTGCGTACCAGTGGCACTCCTGCCTTGTTTGGAGTGAAATGAAAAGAAGAAATAATTTGACCTGAAAAATTACAATTCGTTTGCCCTGTTAGGGAAGGAACAGCCACCCCGTATACCCCGCCGTGTACCCCTATAATCATCATAGCCAATATGCGTACCACATTTTGAGTAGCTGTAAAGGTCTTGTACATTCTATGCAGATCTTTTACTGAGATTCTGATTCAAAATAATGAGAAAGAATAATTTGTATTTTTGTCACTCGTTTGTTAAAAATAGCACGACGCGAATTCGGCGCCAGGTTTTTTTTTAAGTATCCATTAATCATTATATCAAATTGTTTTTTGTTTTCATTTGAATTCAGACACAGATTTCATAGCCTTGAAACACATCTGCCAACGACAAGTTTTCCTAGCAGGCTACCATTACTTAAGCCGACAGCTATATTTGCGTATATTTGTAGCATTTATACAGTGAAATTTTAATTACAAAACTGAACGCAAAGCAAAATAACTAAATTTAAATTAAAAAAATGTCAGACGTTTATGGAATTTAAAGGTCGCGTGTTGGGTGTATTTTAGGTAAGTGTGTGTGTTCGCATCTAAGCAGTTAAAGAAGTATACACAAACTTGGGTTTATACTACAGTTTATTCTCTTTTTATATAAACTGTAGTGAAACAAAGTTCTCAATATCTCTTAGGTATGTACGTTTTCTTTTCTTGTCCAGAAGTCCTGATAAGCAAGGATAAACTTCATTATCATGGTCGAGGTCGAGTCAGCCTTACGCCGAGTTGGAACGACCAAAGAAAAGCTTGTTCTTACTTCATCGTTGGAGGGCCAGAATGTTTATAATGGTCGAGCTCAAGTCAGGCTTGTGCAGAGTTGGAACGACCAAAGAAAAGGTTGTACTTACTTCATCGTGGGAGGGTGGGTTTATTATAATGATCGAACTCAAGTCAACCTTGCGCAGAGTTGTAACAACCAAAGAAAAATTTGTTCTTACTTCATTGTTGGAGAGTTGGAATAGTTATAATGGTCGAGCTTAAGCCAGCCTTGCGCAGAATTGGAACGACCAGAGCATAAATTGATTTACTTCATAGGCGGAGGTTTTGGAAGACACATGCATTTGAGAACAGAAAAGAGAATCAGTGGACCGGGGAAATAAACGTGTCCCAACGGTTATGCCTTATTCCACGTTCTGCTACATCTTGACGCAAGAGTGAGAAAGAGATTGAAGAAGAAAATATTTGTTTTTTTATAGGCTTAAACAGCGCCGCCTAACGGGTGTTTGATTAAGCAAAGTGTGATAATAAACTTTCAGATTTCTTTTCCAGATTTGTATCATGGATAAAATGTATTTCATTTTCGTTTTATTATTATTATTATTATTATTATTATTATTTCTGTATTTTATGTTTCCTGCTTTGTATCTTGTAGAGCCGGGTCCAAACTATGGTCCTCAGGCCCTATAGGAGAATTGTTATTTAATTGATAACACTTTTCTTAGTATATGTGATGTTCCTAGTAGGGCGATCATCTGAGCAACTTTTATGTTGATGATACCTGGGACACTGTTAGTAAAATTGTCCATGCCTTTTCTCACGAGGCCCGGTGCTCCGATTACTATTGGTACAGTCTCAGTCTTCATTCCACACATATTATTATTATTGTTTGTGTGTTATGTTTCCTGCTTTGTATCCTGTAGAGCCAAGTTTAAACAATGGTCCTTAGGCCCTATGGTAGAATTATCATTTAAGTAATAGCATTTTTCTTAGTGTATGGGATGTTCCAAGTAGGGCGATCTTCTGGGCAAATTGTATGTTGATGTTACCTGTTAATAAAATTGTCCATTCCTTTTCTCACAAGGCCCAGTGCTCCGATTACTATTGGTACAATCTCAGTCTTCATTCCACGCATATTATTATTATTGTTTGTGTGTTATGTTTCCTGATTTGAGCCGGGTCCAAATTATGGTCCTTAGGCACTATAAGGAGAATTGTCATTTAATTGATAGCAGTTTTCTTAGTATATAGGATGTTTCTAGTAAAAGTTTCAGATTTTCCAGTGCAGATATTGGCGCACTTCGTCATGACGTGTTTTATACTCAGTGGGTGCCAATTCAGCGCCACCTGATACAAGATGGTCAATTGTTTCTGGATATTTATCACAGAAGCTGCATTTTGGACTAACACAATTTCTCAGTATGCTTGGTAATTTCTTGTTAGCAAACATTTCTCCTGTGCAGCAAAAATAAAACCTTTGGTTTCAGCTTTTAACCCTACACCATGTAGTCACTGATGGGTACAGAATTTGTCTACATCAGCTTGTTTGGTACGGTCAGGGTATTGGCCGTGAAGCGATTTAACTTGCCATCGTCTCTGTATCTGGTCAGTTACATTTTACTTTGCTTTCTTTTTTAAGTATTTTGCAACTTTGGTCGATGTATTGTTTTGAAATTTTTTCACTCACTTGAAACTCTATTTTGAACTTGTTGACTTTCTTTATTACTAAAGTCGCTTACTATTTTCATGTTCTTTGAAACAGATCATCATACAGTCTTCTGTAGTTTCTAGGTATTTTTGAAGGATAATTTTTGTAGTTTTGTAAGACAATTCTAGTTGAACTAATCCTCTGCCTCCTTCAGATCTTGACACATACAGACGATCAACATCAGCCTTGGGATGATGCATGCGGTGGCAAGTGAGAAACTTTCTCGTTTTGGCGTCTATTCGCTTAATGTCAGCCATGGTCCAGTTAAGAATGTTGAATCTGTCTTGCTCTACAGGGACAACCAAGGTGTTTATGGCTGTTATTCTGTTGTTGTTTTTTAATTCAGCTCGGTACTCAGTACCAGACGCATACCCCTGTAGCACTTCTTACTTATCTTCTACTTCATTTGAGTATGCTGTATTCCATCTCCTTCGCTAATTCATAGGTACTTATAGGCTTCATCTTCTTTCAGTTCCTTAATCTTTGTGACAAAGTCTAAATCTGTTGAGTGTGTTTCTGAAATTCTCCCTTTCTTTGAATGTTGCTTTTGCACATTTATCTAATGCATACCTATGTCGTCACTGAAATATTTTACAGTATTGAGGAGACCCTTCAACTCATTGTCGTCTTTGGCAAAGAGTTTGAGATCATCCATGTAGAGTAGGTGATTGAATACTTTCTTGTTTATTTTTTATCCATAGCTATTATTATTATTATTATTATTATTATTATTTCTTCCTTTGATTATACATTTCCTTTCGGGTCCCAACTAGAGACATAAGTCAGAAATGGTATCATGTCATTTTCCACTGATCATTTCTTGTAAAAAAGAAAAAGTTAGACCATGCACATTTTACATAGATAAAGCTCTTCGTAATGCGTCAGTCGTGGTTGTGAGTACATTTTTGTATTTCTTGGGTTACCCGGGATCATTTCAATATGATTCCAATAATTCCAAGAGCTCCAGCTACAACTGGAATTATTGATATCCACATCTGTCCCATCTTTTAGATTTCCACTTCAAGATCTTTGTATTTTTGAAGATCTTCAAAGGTACATTATAATCTGCAGGAATTGTCATGCCAATAAGAAAGTACATTCTGTTTTTGTGGTCTCTAATCACGATGTCTGGCCGATTAGCGTTGATTGTTCTGTTTGTGTTTAGTGTAAAATCTCGTAAAATCTTTTACAAGTCTTATCTCCGTAACTGGGTCGGGGTGATGTTCATAGAAGTTTCTTAGAATTTCCTTCCCGTAAACTTCTTGAAATGGAATGAAAACAGTGATGGCACTTACCATGAATCCATCATCAATGTTTTCGTTCGTTCGTTCGTTCGTTCTTCTTCTTCTTCTTCTTCTTCTTCTTCTTCTTCTTCTTCTTCTTCTTCCACCGCCTCCTTTTTCTTCTGCTTTTTCTTCCACTTCTTTTTTCCTCTTCTTTCTCTTTTTCCTCCTTTTCTTCTTTTTCCTCTTCTTCCTTTTTCTTCTGTTTTCTGCTCCATCATCTTCCCCCTCCTCCTCCTCTTCTTCTTCCTCCCCCTCCTCGTCCTCCTTTTCTTCTTCTTCCTTTTCTTTTTCTTCTTTCTTTTCATTGTCTTCTTCTTCTTCCTCTTCTCCCTCCTCCTCCTTCTCCACCTCATCCTCTTCTTTTTCTACTTCCACCTCCTCCTTTTTCTTCTGCTTTTTCTTTCACTTCTTTTTTCCTCTTCTCCTTTCTCTTCCTCTTTTTCTCTTTTCCTCTTCCTCTTCTTCTTTTTCCTCCTCTTCCTTTTTCTTCATCTTCTTCCTGTTCATCCTCTTCTTCCTTCTTTTCTTCTTCTTCTTCTTTTTTCTATTCTTCTTCTTATTCTTTAATTCTTCTTCTTCTTGTTCTCGTTCTACTTCTTCATCTTCCGCCTTTACCTATTCTTCTTCTTCTTCTTGTAAAAATGAGTGCAGATATTGACCCACTCTGTCGTTCCATGTTTTATATATTCAGTGGATGCCAGTACCGTGGAACTTGATAAAAGTTGATCAATTGTTTCTGGATATTTATTACAGAATTTGAATTTCAGTTTAACACAATATTTTAATATGTGTGCTTGGTAATTTCTAGTTAGAAAGCATTGGTCCTGTGCAACTAGTATAAAAACTTCGATTTCACCTGATAACCCTATACTATGTAGCTACTGAAGGGTACAGGGTTTGTCTATATCAGCTTGTTTGGTACGGGGAGAGTATTGATCATGAAGAGGGTTATAATGTCACTGTTTTTGCATTTGGTACATTGCATTTGCTTTTGTTTTCTTTTTTTAGTTTCTTTATGGCTAATATTCTGTTTTTAATTCAACTCGGTATTCAATACCAGACGCACACGACTGTAGTATTCTTTTCTTACTTTGTCCTTCATTTGGGCATGCTGTATTCTATCTCCTTCGCTAATTCCTAGCCGTCATCTTGTTTCAGTTCCCTAATCTTTGTGACAAAATCTAAATCTATTGAGTGTGTTTCTGTAATTCTCTCTTTCTTGAATATTACTTTTGCGCATTTATCTAATCCGAAATCTATACCTATGTCATCATTGAAACATTTTGCAGTATTGAGGAGACCCTTGAACTCATTGTCGTCTTTGGCAAAGAGTTTGAGATCATCTATGTAGGGTAGGTGATTAAATACTTACTTCTTTAGCTTGTAGCTATAGCTATTGTTGTTTAGTTCATGCGAAAGGGGGATTAACGACAGACAAAACAGAAGAGATGGCAGGGAGTCTCCTTGAAAGATTCCCCGTCGGTTATTCAAGCTATTGGAAGTGGCAGAACCTTTGGGGTGATTTAGGTATAATTTTGTTTCGCACATTCTCATGCTGTGTTTAAGGAAATTTATTATCACTGAGGAGACTTTGTATATTTCCAAAGTCTTAAGGCTTGTTTGGTTCATCAATAATTGATGTTTGCAACTTAATTCAACTCGGTATTTATTACCAGATTTGGGTATGATGTATTCCATCTTCGCTAATTCCTAGGTATCCATAGACTTGTTCCAGTTTCCTATTTTTTTATGGCAATTATTATTATTATTATTAATTGATTTTATTTAATTTTCCCACAACTTCCTACGGTAGAGCTAAGACTATGAATGGAAACTTAAGAGACTCAAACACTACTTCCTTCCTCTCATCATTAAACCATACTCGCATATTCTTCCAGAACAGGATAAATATATTTAATGATAGATGGGTTGAAGATTGGAGGTAACAGTTACAGGACGAAGCAGCTAATTATTTTTCCAAGATAGTGACATCGTAAAATTGGTTGATGGCAGACGATAAGTTCTGGTTTCGTGTAAATATGGCGGAAACTAACACGACAGAAATGCTTGCTACTGACATTTTTGATGTTTCTGATGTGTATAATTAAAAAAAACAACAACAACAAAAAAACATCGCTTTAATTTTGAAAGATGGACAGTGGAAAGCAATTCCTTTAATTGAAAGATGAGGCTTTTTATTTATTTATTCATGGTTTCAATTGCTGCTCTCTTGGTCTTCGCCTTTTCTTTTCCTTCGTATAAGCGACGCCGGCAAATGGCTGCGTGTGAAAACAAGCTTGTAGGGTGTAAATATGTATTAAACGATGCAGCTGTTTCGAGATAAAATTGGCTTCGTTTATTCAAACATGTATTTGTGTATATGTAATATTTCAGTGACCAGATTATATGTACCAAAGTGTATCCTAATTAATACTTATTTATAATAATACTAACTAGCAGGATCCGTAGAATCTACAGCAAAATTACCAATAATTTTTTAATGCACACTATGTACTTTCGATCCAAGACCATTCCCAGATGGCTATAAGAAAAGTGACATCGTTACTTTTAGGAATATTGAAATGTCCACAGCAGATCGCCATGAAATATGAATTGACACTTGAATACAAAGAACTAACTTTACCTAAGATCACCCGCTTCCAACCCATGTCGATATCTCACACTCTTTTTATCCTTCGATATCCAACTCTCTATTTCTCTCTTTATATCCTTCTCTCTGTCTTTTATACACTGTATATGCTTCTCTCTTTCTGTTTCACACTTTATATGCTTCTCTCTTTCTTTTTTACTCTTTATTTGCTTCTCTCTTTCTGTTTTACTCTTTATATATTTCTCTCTTTCTCCTTCACTCTTTATATCCTTCTCTCTTTCCGTTTTACTCTTTATATCCTTCTCTCTTTCTGTTTTACTCTTTATATATTTCTCTCTTTCTCTTTTACTCTTTATATCCTTCTCTCTTTCTCTTTTACTCTTTATATCCTCCTCTCTTTCTGTTTCACACTTTATATTCTTCTCTCTTTCTCTTTCACTCTTTATATCCTTCTCTCTTTCTCTTTTACTCTTTATATCCTCCTCTCTTTCTGTTTCACACTTTATATCCTTCTCTCTTTCTGTTTTACTTTTTATATCCTTCTCTCTTTCTCTTTTACTCTTTATATCCTTCTCTCTTTCTCTTTTACTCTTTATATCCTCCTCTCTTTCTGTTTCACACTTTATATCCTTCTCTCTTTCTGTTTTACTTTTTATATCCTTCTCTCTTTCTCTTTTACTCTTTATATTCTTCTCTCTTTCTCTTTTACTCTTTATATTCTTCTCTCTTTCTCTTTCACTCTTTATATCCTTCTCTCTTTCTCTTTTACTCTTTATATTCTTCTCTCTTTCTCTTTCACTCTTTATATCCTTCTCTCTTTCTCTTTTACTCTTTATATCCTCCTCTCTTTCTGTTTCACACTTTATATCCTTCTTTTTTTATATCCTTTCTCTATTTTTACTTTTATATCCTTCTCTCTATCTCTTTCACTCTTTATATCCTTCTCTCTTTCTCTTTCACTCTTTATATCCTTCTCTCTTTCTCTTTTACTCTTTATATTCTTCTCTCTTTCTGTTCCACACTTTATATCCTTCTCTCTTTCTGTTTTACTCTTTCGAGGCCCTAAAAGGGGAGGGGTTGAGGCTGGTCGTCACTAACTATCTTATACCTAGCTAATCTTATTCACGACCCATTCATACATTACAATTTACTCATTCACCATAAGAACTCATCCGTCACCAATCAATCCTCCATACACCATAATACCACATTCTCTCAAGGGGGACCTACAAAACGCGCCCCATGACATAAAAATGTAATGATGCTAAAATATATGTAAAAATCTATGATGAAAAATGTGAGGGGAGGTAGATGAACCCAAAAATAAACTAAAATATCAACACAAAACTGATGTTAGTACGGCCCGTTCAACCCTCAAAAAACAGAGAGGCCGCTGTATTCTGCCCATTTGGACAAAATCAAGCAGCTCTCTCGCTAAGGGAGTGGGAGAAGGATAAAAAAAAATATACGGTCATGGGAAATATAAAGCTGACCCAGTCGAGATTAAAGGGGCCAAAAACAAACTGGGAAGGTTGGGAATCTCAACCTGGATCATAACCAAAGATGAGGCCCGGGATAAGCCGGGAACAACACTTACTTACATGAACTAGGTACACAAAAGCTTGTGTAACCTAACCAAATGGAGGGCTCCACAGGAAACCACCCCAATGTGACGTAGGCTTGACCTAAAAGAGAAAATCAAGGCTAGCCCGCTCAAACGAACCAAGATCGCCTCAGTCACCCACCTTTTGCTGAAGACTGTCGAATGCAATCGTTTTCTATCTGTTCTTATCTTCATCTTGAGCTGATGCTCAAAGAATCGGATAAGATCCTGATGAGAAAGACGGATACCCCGCAAGACTTCCTCCTGTCGCGTCGCCCAAATCACCATTCGGGCCGTGGCCAGCAGCGTCAAAAACACCATCCGTTTCACCCCGGAATATGGGGGCGACCCATTGTCACTGACGCCAATAAGCTTTCGAGTTCCTACATCGGAGATCAGCAGGGAAAAAGTCCTATTCTTAACAGCATCTATTGCTTCCTGTATGGTTTAGTAACTTGTTGCCGTTTACAAATTTATCGTATTTATTTCTTAGCTCATTATAATAAGCTGAGTTTTTTTCGTCCACTTTCCAAACCAGGCAGTTTTTCCCGGCGTCACTGAATTTGGATCTGTCATTGTTTGTGCCTCCGAGCCGTCGGCCATGACGATGAGGTCAAAAATAAATATATGCTTTTTTATTTTTTTTTTAGAGGTCGCGGAAAGATAACAAAAGCAAACAAAGGAAAATGTACAAAATAAATTTAAAATTTCAAACTTGGCAAAAAAGAAAAATTTACAAAATAAATTTAAAAGATTACCCAAACGAAAAATAAACACGAATATATGTTAAAAGCAAAAGGAAAATTAAAAGTAATAAATTGAAAGTTAAAAAAATTCAAAACGTTCACAAAATAACAGAAAGAAAAAAAAAACGAAAATAAAAGGCTTAACTTAATCATAATCAAAAGTTTTTTCAAATTCCCGCTCGGCAAAACCTTTAGCTTGACAAAGGTAAAAAAAATGAAAATAACTCGTGTCTACTACTTTTCACTTCACTTCACACTGGGCTACGTCCGACATTCGCAGTTTGTATTTATGAGAAAAGGAAGAGTTCATTATACTGTAAGAGGGTTTACCACAACAATATTCTTCTCTCTTTCTCTTTTACTCTTTATATCCTTCTCTCTTTCTCTTTTACTCTTTATATCCTCCTCTCTTTCTCTTTTACTCTTTATATTCTTCTCTCTTTCTGTTTCACACTTTATATGCTTCTCTCTTTCTGTTTTACTCTTTATATCGTTCTCCCTTTCCGTTTCACTCTTTATATCTTTCTCTCTTTCTGTTTTACTCTTTATATTCTTCTCTCTTTCTGTTTTCCTCTCGGGCAGCTTAACACAGTCTGGGTTCTTTCATTTTTTTCACCCCCAGCAAGGCGGCGGTGCCACTAGCACGCAGGTGTTTACATAGAGTAAAAATAAGAGAAAAGAGATTTGTTTGAGGAAAG